AGAAGCTACTAGGAACAAGTGCATCGCTACTAGTAACAAGTGCCTTAATGTAGTCCCTTGATTTATAAACCCCCCCCCCGCAACAGCCAAGGCCTCCAAAATAATGTATAAGAAAATCAATCAGTTGATAATTAAATAAGGAATCCTTAGCTAGCTACCTCTGGAGCTACTCTGGCAATATTAAATTAAAAGGAAATAAGAATTCCTAACTTTGAAGACCTCTGGAATATTAAATTAAAAGGAAATAAGAATTCCTAACTTTGAAGACATCTGGAATATTAATTACAATAAAAGGGAATGAATCAATGGAAATAGAACTAACTGTTTAAATTTCAATGGAAATCTCAATCCAAAGACCTGCAATTTCAATGGTAAGTAAAGCAAATCAAAAGGCAAAGAAAAGGAATAAAGATTTAAAGCCTCAAATCTCTAGACATTATTCTAGGCCCCCCCCCCCTAAATAATGTCAGAAAGCTGCTTGCTGGACTACCCCCTTTGCTTGAATGATTTTTTTTGTTTTTCAATACTTTTGAATAAGGGATTTTATAAAGAAAGTGCGCACTGACTGTTGGAAACTTTTGGAAAGCTTCAAAACTAAAGAGCTTAGGAAAAGTTAATAAGGAATAGAGGGTGAGTAAAGCAAATCAAAAGGCAAAGAAAAGGAATAAAGATTTAAAGCCTCAAATCTCTAGACATTATTCTAGGGGCCCCCCCCTAAATAATGTCAGAAAGCTGCTTGCTGGACTACCCCCTTTGCTTGAATGATTTTTTTTGTTTTTCAATACTTTTGAATAAGGGATTTTATAAAGAAAGTGCGCATCAAATCTCAATGGAAATCTCCAAATTTTCAATAGAAATCTCCATCCAAAAGCCTCCAAAAGCATCAAATCTCAATGGAAATCTCCAAATTTTCAATAGACATCTCCATCCAAAAGCCTCCAAAAGAATCAAATCTCAATGGAAATCTCCAAATGTTTGATAGAAATCTCAATCCAAAAGCCTGTAAGATAAGCAAATCCCAGCAAAATCAAAAGGGAAAAAGTAAACTATAACAATAAAAAAAAATCCACTACAACTACCTTATTCTAGGGGCCTTTATAAATCAGTGCAGGGAAAAAAAGACATATATAATTCTAGGGGTCTTTATAAATCTGAGGACTACATTACTAGTAGTAACAAGAAGCTACTAGGAACAAGTGCATCGCTACTAGTAACAAGTGCCTTACTAGTAGTAACAAGAAGCTACTAGGAACAAGTGCATCGCTACTAGTAACAAGTGCCTTACTAGTAGTAACAATGTTTGCTATTAGTAGGCTCGGCCGCCTCGAAGCTCCCGTGGCCGAACTTGTACTGACACCAGGCTGGGCGGCTCCAGTGGTCCTTGTCTTTGTCGGCTCCGCTGGGGAAAACGTCAGGCAAATGTCCAGCAACGACGCACCCAAAGTTCTTGGGTTCCAATCTACCCATCAACCGCCATGGATCACAATCTTTTTGGCCAATCTATCAGAGTTACACCGAGGTCCCCTAAACCTCAAGCTCGAATCTGTTCAGCACTTGAACCGGGCGTAGTTGATGCGACTGCTTCATGTTGTACCCCTCACATAGACATTAAGTGCCAAGCTAGAACCAAAGCTGCAATGACTTCAACTACAACTGCAAGGCATGAACAGTTGTGCATTCTAGAATTCATCGGCTTGAGGGCAACTGCAAATGTAGCTCGTGCTGTGCAAAATCACATGCACACTATATATATATATATAGGGATATACAGGGCTAAGGACTCCGTGCAACATATTTTTGGGTAAAATGTCAATCCGGTAAGAGCAGCTGGATGCTTTAGCCGTGCTTCCAAAGGACTATCCCAAGCCATGCTGACTTCATAACGGTTTCTAGCTTCTAGCCAAGTCCTAGGATGACCTTAACAAAGCTGTCAAAGACATCATGTGTCACAGTGTCACAACATGTGCGGGCCGCTAACCTCCCCAACACAAAAATCACACACCCCAATCCAAATGCAACTCAACTGGATCCATTTCAAATGCGAGCAGGGCGCCAAGCCAGAGTGAAGTGGTTTGTAGCCTGAGATCTCAGAAGTGCTAGGAGAACGCCAGCTGCCTCCCCACTCGAAACCACTTGTTGGCTTACCCAGCAGCTTGGAAGTGGAACCAGCCCTGCTTCACGAACGGAACTTTGCTTCAGGTTAGGGTTACAATCAAAACGAATCAAGCCGAGCTCCATGACCGAGCCAAGAGACCCAACATCTGCAAAGCCAACTTCAATGACTGGGTGCCACTGCGTGGGGCGCCCACATCCACCACCTGGGACAAAGCAAGCCGCTTCAAATATGGCCAAATATGGCCAATATCCTTAGAGAGATGGGTGAACATCCCTAAGCTTTGAAGCATCTTTTGCAGTACTATTCACCACAAATAGGCCGGGTCCTACAGAAGGCGTCCAGAAGTGACTTGTGATCTAGGGCGCTCTGCGACTCCAAGCTTGGATGGCTCTGGGATTCGTAGGGGGGGCATTTTTCGCACCTCACCAAGAAACATAGCCTTCTCATGCAAGTTTGGGGAGAGTACCATTGTCAAATGCCAGGACATACTGACATACTGTATCTGTTTGAACTGTTCGTGATGCCCTGTGCCACGAGCAGGCTTTGCACCGTTTGGCTCAACTTGTCTGAACAAAAACACGGTCATCCTAGTGACTCGAAAATAACGACACCCACGTGGACTCAACCGGTGCCTTAAAAGCTGCTGCAGAGGTCAGCCACACCAGAATACGCAACATCATGAAGGTTGAGCCATGGACGTGGGGTTCCACCATGGCCAGCTGCCCAAACCAGGCAGCCCCTTGAGCCAATTGGGGCATCCATCAGAGAATTCTTTGTTGAGGCATGGGCCTGAAATGAGTTTACTTGGACTCGGACTTAGACTGCAACTCAATTCCAAGGAGTTCGATTTCTGAAACAGCTTTTGCATCAAAACAGAAACACAAGAAGGAGAAGAGCAAAATCACGAAAAAAAAAGAAAAGTATTGTATAAACAGGCAACCATCACTTGTGCTTCTGTAGGAATCATTGGGCCGACACATCAACCCTGGCGTGCCTAGCTCCCGTGCACGCGGCGGCCGTGCGCGCCGGCGGCGGCGCTGCTCGGGGACTTTAGCAGCACAGGCTGGGCCATCAATGGCCACGAAGAGCGTCTGGCTGGGCGTCACCCTGGCGGTGGGGATTTGCCGGACTGGACATGTTTTAAACTTCAGGGATATAGGATGAAATATATAGGTGAGGTTACATGAGGTTGGCAAAGGTGGTATACGGTATACATAGATATCGCTCTATATATAGGGTATACCATGGCATCTACCTTTTGGTCGCTTAGAAGTGCAGGGGCTGCAGAATACTGAAGCGAGGGCTACCCCAAGCTTACACTTCAAAATTTGCCTGGTTGCAAGCCAGTGGTAAATGTTGCCCTCACGGCAAGCATCTCTTTCAGGAAGGATTGGAGATGATTTGGAGCTTACTGTATATGAAATGTTCAGGTGACATGATCGATCATTCATGTATTTTCTCCACACCAGCTTCAAATGGTTTTACTGACCACCAAATGCCCTTGCACTGGTAGGTGCGCGGGCTGGCGGGGCCTGTCCAGGAGGTGATCCACACGGGCCAGCACTGCTTGGAGGAAGACCTCCTGCACCACTGGGTTTCAGTCTCGACAATCCCAGCGACCCGATCGTGGTGACATACAGCGCCCCGGTGGTTCTGAAACCCAATTTTCAAGTATACATAGGGCCCCTCAGCTCACTAAAGTCTTGCTTTCCGGCATGACTTCCTACGAACCGTTTCCACCGTGTCTTAAATCGTTCAAACTCATCAGCATCCGTCAGCCGTGCCTGCAGGTTCTTTCCTGTTTTCTACAGTCTGAGTAGGCCTCTGCTTGACTGCTTGCCATATTATGGGAGAAGCTTCCCAAGTGATTTTGAAAGCTACTATTTCAATTTCATTCAAGGATCTGAATCCCCAAGGTCCATGAAGGCCACAAACCAAGCACCCACCCACCCTGGAACGACGAATTTGATACAGTACTCTTCTTTTCCGATGCATTCCGCTTGAGTACAAGCAGCTAGCAATGAGTTATAACAAATCACATCTTGCTCTGGCCCCATCTGGCTGAGCAGTTTCCAGGCCTCCTCCCACTGTCCCCGATCTTCACATTCGCCCATTACTAGGGCATAACCCCGGGTTGTCGGCACCAAAGCATCCCTGGGAAGCAGCTCGAACACACCCCGCCAGCCATGCAGTGCGGTTTGCGCCTCACTGTCCAAGCGCAAACCAACGGAGTACGCCTCCAGCAGCCAAAGGCTGCTCCTCTGCCACTGGTTCACAGCTTTGGCGCCAGCAGTGAGGAGAATGGTGTTGAGTGTTGCGGGGAAAGCGTGTAGCTGTTGCAAGGCCAAAGCCCAGGGCAATCCATTGAAGCTGGCGCTGTGAGTCACCACGTTTCGTTGAACACCGATGCATGGCATATCTTCAAGTAGCTTCAAGGAGAGGTGCCATGGAAGACTGGGAAGAACTGCGCTGTCTGTGAAGTGGTTTCTTCCAAGTCCCACCTCTACCATCTCACTGTGCAAGGCTAAGGAGGACACCCACAAGCTTTGCACACCTTGCGTGGCAGAGATTGCCAAGCAGTAGCTGATGCTGCTCAAGCGCAGGGAAGACCTGATGGCACCCTCGCGGATCTGCAAAACCCACTCCCAAACTCCAGCTTTCTGACACGCCCCCATGACCGCGTTCACTGCCATGGGGCCAGTAGGGCGATGCAAGAACAGCGCCAGTCTCCATGCATGACCTCTGGCAACTGCCATGGCAGCAACCCGGACAGCTTCATCTACCTGGAGTCCCAAGGCATGTGGCCAGGCATGGCACAAAGGCTGGTAGCACCAGAAGTCCCTCTTGCAGCTCCTGATTCCCATCTCGTGATACAGTTCCAAGCTCTGGAGCCACGCACCAGCGGTCGCATCTAAGGTGGCGCCATAGATGATGGTGTCCAAGCGCAGGTCGGAAGATCGAACTTCTGTCAGGAAACCTAGGGCAGCTTTCCAGCGACCAGCTTGGCAATGTTTGATTACTGGAGTCCAGGTAAATAAATCAATCTGGACTTGTCTCTCCCGTGCTTCTTCCAAAGTCTGTAAGGCCTCTCTCCACTGATTTCCACTCTGCGCCGCCACCAGGCTATTGTAACTACTAACCTTGGATCTGCTTCTCCAAATTCTAAACGACTGCAGGGCTCGACTCCAACCTGAGCTGCGCCCCAACGCACCAATGAGCGAGTTGCAATCCTGGACGTCAAAAACCGAGGATCCTCCAGTGCATCTTGAAGCTTCGAGCTCCTGAAGCTTGAAGCTCCAGCCAGACCGGGCAGCATCATGCATCTCGCCATGATCACAGGATCTGATCGAACGGCTCAATCAATTCACTCATGAACGTGTAAAAATATACAAAATTTATATATGTGTGTCCCATGCAGCTAACTCCAATAGCTCAGTCTTCCCAAACCACGGTAAACTGGTGGGTTGGGTTGCCAACAAATCTTGGAAAAAAACACAACTAGCTCAGTCTATACATTAAAAAAACAAATAAAGCAACATTAAACAAACAACGCAGAAATCCTCAGTCTATGTAAATGTGTTTATATGAATATACATAGGCCGATTATATATAAACTATGCTCGGAATAGGTAACAAAACAATGCAACACATAGCAATCTCAACGTCAACATGCTTCCTTCTTGAGAATGCCACTTTACCGGGTGGCATATGGGCTGCTGCAAATGGCTGAAGGTCCAAACGTCACTTGAGCTCGCATGACTCTCAGGGCAAATTCCACCGCATCCCTTTTTTGATGTTGCTATTCATTTGGCTGCCTTGCTGAGTTGCAAGGCCATTGAGCCTCGCAGCACCTTAGCCCCCCGTGTACTTCCTAGCCACCTCCATCTCTGCTCTCACACACCTGATCTTCCCTGCCCTGCCCTACATGCCGACAGGGCTTGACAGGCTGTAGCAGGTGCACCTCCTGGCTACAAACACCACGCGAAACATGATTGAAATTCGTTGAATTGGACGCAGGCCGAAACTGGCATTCTTGTCATGTCCTCTCTTTCTTGCGCTGCTGGGAGTAACATGGAACCAACACAACTTGGAGAAGCTCACCTCCTTTTCACCTGGTACTCACTTTCCACCTCTGTGATGTGTTTTATTGATGTTTTCATCCTGAACCCCGTGTCTCCAAATACCCGGTACTTCGACGCGTGAATTCGTCCCTTCCTCAGATGCACTGCCGCCACGTGCTGAGAGCGTCTCGTGAAGCACACTGTTGAGATCAATATACCTCGGTGGTGTGCATGGAGCGCAGTCAGCGCCTCTTACTTCGCGTGCAGTCGGCGTGAAGAAAAACAAAACAGGTCCGACAGGTGTGAACGGTGTGAACCTGCACTTTCTGCCCCCAGACCTTTTTCTGCCAGTTTCACATCAACCATTGGAAAAGGATTTGTTCGGCTTTTTCATGATCGACGTTATGGTGTAGTGTGTGGGTGCGAATTAGTGGCCCAGCCACAAAAAATGGGAGGACAGTCTTGCACCCCCCTGCTCAGCTCTTGCAATTACTTCAACCTATAGAGAGTTTGTATTCCCATCATTCTGCATTAACCTACACAAGCTGGTCTTTTGATTCACTTTTGATGCAAACAATTGCCCCATACGCCATATAGATAGTCAGCAATGATATAATACACCTTCCCCTACAGTAGGAGATTCACTTGGAGTGCTGTCAGGAAGCACATGCTCGGCCTTAAGCTGTGCCTCATTCACTCTCCACGCATTCGGTCAAATGGCAGCGTCATTAAGTTCAACCAAATTCAGGTTCTGACTACGTAGCAGCTACAGTAGCACGGAACCAGGTGCCTCAATTGAGTGATTCAAATCGCCCAACACAGGAATTCTCCACTGATTACCACTTTCATGATACGTTAGACAATTAAAATTTCCAGCCATTCCAACCACTTCAGTGTCGCAATGAACATTTCTTGCAGTGCTTTGATGTGAGCTTAATTAGTGTGTTGGAAGAATTCAGAAGTCACTTCCAGGCTGTGCCCTTGCGCCTCATTCCGGAAGGCATCAGGGAAGGTGTTCCGCAGCCAGGGCGTGAGTCGAGGGATGCCCATGAACGCCGGCGCGTGCCACGCCACGCGGGGCGCGGAACGCCACGCGCGGTGTCACCAAAGCGCGTCGCCCGTGCTGGACATGAAGGAAGAAACGCGCGGAGCTTGTTCAAGTGTTACGGTAGGAAGCTCCCATGCATGTGTCTTCAGCAAAGGTATGCGGTGCATCGTGCACAATTACAGTATTTGAGGGGAGATTTCGGGGACCCACAACACCACTAGGGGCTTTACTGTCGATTCGAGAGGGTGCAATGTAAAACAATCAGGCTGATCAGTGATATTCCCTCTGGGTCTAGGTCTAGGATGGTTTCAATGGTTTCAGACTTAAGGCTTAATTACGTGAGATTGGACCTCTCTCTCTCTCTAAGCAGTGAGATTGAGGTATAGTTATATTGAGGTCAGTTTACCGATGGGGGGGGATGTATCGATGCTGGATGTGAAATGTTGTGTTGGTCTCGTTCATGCTTTTTCTGCTTTCCAAGCAAAAGGATCATCATGCAGCATGAAGGTTCAAACACAACACGTCCTAAATTGTGTTCCTCCGTGGAGCTTCCGGGATCCTATTGCGCCCATACAGGTTGCCATCCAAAAAAAAGAAACAATATGACATTACAAATGATTACAGTATGTCTGCAGCAGATGTTCTGTTTTGATCTTGAATCTTGGCAAACACTCCACAACCGGGAGGTCAGTTGGTGAAAGAATCACTTTCGCATGCAGTGCGTGCAGTGTGGCCACATATGCATGTAAAATATATATATGCACACGCAACATTCCATCATGGGAACAGCATCAATAACTCAATGACCATTCACAAATGTCATCGACGATCATCGACTGTGTTTTTGACCTGTAGCTGTGCCGCCGGTCTTTCCGCCCGCCACTGCTGCAACAAGCTCAATGCTGGCTGCCACTGACCGCCCTTTTCGCATGCGCTGATCGTGGCACTGAAGCTGATCACATCGGGCTTGATGGTTGCAGTTGGTAAGTTGCCAAAGATCCTCAAAGCTAGTTGCCACTCAGACGCCTTCTCACAGGAACTGATGGTGGAATTGTGGGTGTAAAGGTTTGGAGCGATCTGCTTTTGGGGCATCTCCTGCCACAATTCCAGGGCGGTTTGCCATTGGGCGCCCTTCTCACATGAACTAATCAGGGCGCTGTAGCTGACCACATTCGGCGTGATGCTTGCCCTAAGCATAGCTTGAAAAACGTCCAGTGCCAACCGGCTTTCTCCACCCTTTTCGCAGCTGCTGATTACAGCGCTGTAACTGTAAACATCTGCCACGATCCTGGCAAACGCTGTCAACACCTTTGACTTTGGCAGGCTTCCAGTTCATACCAATCAAGTAAGCTGCTGCTACTTCTTGGTTGATGCTCCTATGTATAGAATCGTTATATATCCGTTGTGGTGTTGGACACCGAGATCATCCGAGATCGTGTGCTGTCCAATTTGTGGCTAGAATCCGCTAGATCAAGAAACCTTCAGAACTTTCCAGCAGAAAAGTAGCACCAACAACCCACAGCACAACAGCAGCAGCAACCACCACAAGCACAATCACGACAACAACCAACAACCACAACCTCAATCACCAATAACACAAGAGCAAAAACAAGGCAAGAACATGCGAAAACAAAGCGAGAACAACACAAAAACAAGAACAACAAGAAACACATAAACGAGAGGTGAGTCAATCTTGAACTAGGAAGACCCCCCCAGTTTTGCCTCACGATTAGGAACAGCATTAGACTCCATTAAAGAGTGGGTGTTGGAGAGTCTCCCTAGTGTAGTGGTTGAACATGGTTGAACTGTGGATGGTGCCTGTTGTGGCTTCCCAGGGCACTCCTGGCATCTGGCATCTGATGCCACAAGTGCAGCGCTGTCGCCCAAAGGGCAGCCTTTTCAAGGGCGCTCAAGGCGCCATTGTGGCACAACAAATCCGCGAAGAGGAAGGCTTCCTGGCACAATCAAGACGTAACTGTTGATCCATATCTTCAATAGTAGGGGGGTGGGAAGCAACAGGCCCTGTTGGGTTTTTTCGCGCGCTTACGGGTTAGTCGGGCCTAAGGCTTGTGAAAAAATCCTAAGACACGAAACAGTGTGCAAGCATGACACTTCTCTGGTGTCACTAGAGCAAAAAGATAAACAACCGATTTTTCAGAAATGAATCCAGCGAGAACAATTCAAAACATATAAACCTTTAGTGTTTTTGGTGCCAATCAAAAACCCTGCCAAGTTGAGTCTGCCCAGTCTGTTTTCACTGCTGAGCTGGTCCCACCCGGTTTAGCCAGTCCGTTTCAGGACTGGGTCCCCCAAATCCAACTTGCCACCTCATTGCAATTGCAATGGCAAAGATATCACATAATCAGCCAACACACTGGCGTTTGGCCTGTGGCTGTTGCGGTTCAAAATATTCCTGCACCCTCTTGCATGATTTGATCTCAGCGATCAGCTTCAAAATCTCTTGGATCAGCTCTTTTTTCGGAGTCCTTTTGTGTTGGGCTCGGAGTTCTCCTCTGGCAAGCTTGTCCCACAAGTCTCTCAAGCCAGCTTCGCCAGCTTTGTTTTTCTCAAGCGTCATTTTGGTCAACTGCTTCTCGTCATACTTCTTGACCTCAGCAAGGAAGTCTTGACGTTCTTTGCGTTGAACCTCGGACAAAGGAGCGTCGGCGTCGGTGCCGGCTGCTGCTCCACTTGGCAAACCATGGCCACTGCCTTCCAAGCCATTGCCATCCATGTTGCCGTCCTCAATGACAGTCTCCTGGGGCAC